CAAAACAAAAAAACAAAAACGTCCTTTTAGACTCACGTTAAACCGGGTACTTTTGTTGGTACCAAGCAGTCCTTAATCTGGCGACCACCAATTCCAAGTTGTCCCCATACACCCCATCCAAACGTCCACACCTCTCCTTTAGTGTTTAAAATGGCAGAATGGAATTGACCTGCAGACAATGCTCGAACTGATCCCCAGTTGCCTTCAACCAGCTGAAAGACTTGCTCATTCTAACAAGTAATACACGATGGGCCAATCCATTTTGGGAAAACAATAAGGGAGTTTCTAGATGAACCTTTTTTCGGACTGAGCAACGCATTCCTCTTTCGATCAGGTTTGTAACTGAAAGCGATTTGGCCCCTTCAATCAACTGCGGGGCCACCCGGTCCATAAAACATTAAATATGAAGCCTTCGCCGTTGAACAATCACTTTTTGGAATGCGTCAGGCACTCTACTTTCTTTCAAAATCGTTGTGACTTATTGAACCCTTTTACAATGAATTTCGTTGACCAGCTGATGTACAGGTCAATGTCTCATACTCCCATACGAATCTGACACCTATTCACCTCGGAGGACAGAAAACATGGTTGGCCTGAGCGGGAGCAGAGCTAAGATTTGAGCCTCGGACCTCGCGCGTGTGGTGAGCATGCTACTTGCCCCTACACCACCTTCGCCTAACAACATTACAAGCATGACAAAATCACCTGCAGTTCAGGAACAGGCAAAGAATGGCCAACTCCACATTGACCAAAACGATTTCGCCCTAACGAAAAAAGGCGCCCTGAAAAAGGACAGTAAAATATAGACATCAGATAAATTCAAAGGAAAAAATAATACCAGCACTGGTCAGCACCAAAATATGTTCGGCACCACAGCAAACTACTCTTGGACGACCCTCAACGTGAATGGGATGAGGTAGCTGGAAGTAGCACTACATCATCAAAAAGTTCTCACTGAGAAAGATGACCTCCAGTGTATAACAATTGGAGGGGCAGAATAGCAGTAAAAAATTGGATTACTCTTTCAAAAATGCAAAAAAGAGAGCTTCTGGTCTCGTTAGACAAATCACCTGCTGAGGACGAGAACGTTTCGGGCTTAGTGGGGTCTCAGTGGATGATCTTCGCGTAGTTTTGCCGGACATTTCTGAAAAATTTCTTGGATTGCAACCTTCAGGGAGTGCACGAGGAGTAGTGGAGGTGGATCTAGCGATAACTGTGAAAGGTAGCCAAAAAGGGCATAAGAGGCAACACATCTCGGAGAGGGGGCGTGGCTGCTCCAAACAAGTGGGCTACTGCACTTTTGGTAGCTCATTACCGTTTCGGAACAAAATGGAAACACGTCACGAAAAACGCGTCGCACGCCATGTCTAAATAAAGTGCGCAACCACGCCCCTTACATTTTCGGGGATGAAGGGTGTATCATGGGAGAACGAGAAAATAGTACCTATGCTTTCAAATGGTTTATTTTGCTGATTTGTAAAGTCTCCCCAAATAAGCAGTTGACCTTCAGCCGTAATGGCAGCTGATCCGTTCATTCCACAGCTGATACTACGACAGGCGGCATCATATTCCTTTAAATATTAGGTGTTCACAAATTACTGATTCAAATAATAGCCTAAATACGTACTGTGCGTTCGTACTGTTGCGTTGCAGCGACTAGGACGTATGGGCTCGATCTAGCGACTTTCCCGTTCGCTTCAACCGCTGCGTCCGCTACCACCAGATCGATATCTTAAATTCCTCGTCGTCCAAAACGCTGGTGGGCGTTTGAAACGGCGAGCAAGTATGAACGACCCTGTCTCACTCTCACCTGCGTCCAAGCAGCTTTGTCGCTTATAATGTACATAGCAGAAATAAGGTACAGTAGTGAGCAATGCTTCGGGAAACTGAAATAAGGCTATTTTAGGATACCTGAGGAGGTTGCCCCACCCCTCATACAACATCCTAGCTCCAGCCCACCCCTCCCCCATATACATGGTGGAACTCCACGTTGAACTGTCTATGTTCCTGCTAGTCTGAGCGCAGTTTCCTGGTGGCAATTGTTCAGGCGCTTGCCATTTCACCAGTAACGAAACAGTGGCCTACTTCTTGGGTTCCATTCATTTCATCCCTTCAGATTCGCGGCCATGTATATCTGAACAAATCAAACTGAAGCCACGTTTTGAAAAAGTTTTCCATAATTTTGAACTTAGAGGCAGTCCCTGCGCCCAAGCAATTCGAGTAATCTTGTCCGCATTCTCTAAGACTGTACCACTTTCGCGCATCACAGGAAGTAAACAAAGGCGCTAGGCTCTCGTTGAGTGGCCGTTTCTGGACGCCTCGTTTAGTTGCCCGCCCCCTCGACGTCTATTTTCCGTCAGGTTTCGTCTGTACGTGTTTCTCGGTTCTTTTCACTCTTAGATGGTATCCGCGTTTGACGCTAGACAATTGACTGAGTCAGCGGCGGCCAAGATATCGCTTTTCCTTTCCTAAACGTCCAGTTCCGAAGTTGCGTCAGAGAGCTGACAGGTTCTCGTGTGTTCTCCTCATTTTTTTGGCACTTCTTCCATGCCCCACATCCAGGACAGGAACCACTTTTGTTGTTTGATCGACCTTTTCTCCGTGGGGTTCTGGTCCAATAGGATATTGATATTCAGGAGGTCAAACTACCCAGTGAACAAATTTCCAGTCCCTGGAAACAAGTTCTCAGCAAATTTGGTGATTTCGGGTATTTGGCGCGGACGCCAGGGAGTTTCGTGCACAGCGGATGTGATATTCATGTTCAGGAGGTCAAACTACCCAGTGAACAAATTTTCAGCCAATTTTGCCAACGCAGAAAAAGTCGGTCAAAAACCTGGTCTGTTTTTGGAAGACTGGGGCAGTAAAGGGTGAATAGTTGTTTTTTTTTGCTTTTTTCTTTCCCAGCGGGTCACTTAGCGACTATAGGTTTGGAATCGAACGCCACTCATCCACAGAATGTGATCGCGGGGCTTGCCTCTAAGAAACCTGCATAAAGTCCTTCTGAAAGTTATCTCAGGACTTACCAGAGATCTCATGGAAGGCACAGCTGAAGGCCAAAACTTTGGAGCATTACGGATAAGAACTCGGAGCACGTTAGCCTGACTCGCTTTATGCCGTTGTGCAAGCAACGTTGCACTCCTCCATAACTGAGCTTCAGCACAACTTCTCGCTCCGTTATCTACATCAACATGTCGAGATAGAAAAGCACTGGAATAAAACTGCTTCAGAAATACAGAGAACTAACTTTTCTGAATTACCGCACCTCAATTCATTATCGATGCCTAGGCGCGCTTCGCAAATCTGGGACGCATCTTCGTTTGAGTGAGCCGCCAGTACTTCACTCCGACGCACATACAGCTCAACCACTCGTCTACGCAACGGAGAACGGCTGTCT